AAATATTGACTTATGAAATGCATCTTAACAGTTACACGTATCAAAATGTTAAGATAAAAAGGGATTGTTTTCTTATTCAAACCAAAAACAATATAAGTAGTCAATTTTAGCCTTGTTTCAGTGGCCCTTCTATTAGAACTCAGAGCTTTAGTTTTTCATCAGATAGGTGCAGTATAAATACAGATGCATTTAAGCAGATACTTGAGGTTCCATATTTGCCGAGGTGCTTATCTAGTTGCAATTAAGCATGCCCTAGTTTTTGTTAAAACGCTTCTGTGCGAGAACAGCCCACACCCATTCACTCACATACATGCACACCCCCGACTGCGCGTGTGTATGTGTGTGTGTGTGTGTGTGTGTGTGTGTGTGTGGCTACCAAATTACATGCATTCAAGCAGAAGATTGCGCAATATGTTTTGTATTTGGCCGCCTCAGTGCAAATGAGCGGAAAATCTAATTTTCCAGCCGCATGCAAATTTTGTTTTATTTTTGTTTTATTTTTTTTTTATTAGTTTTTCGTATGTTTTTTGCAATATGCCAAAATGTCAGGCTACGGTCATGAGCTAACTGCTACTGCAGCTTGGAGGTCGTAAACATAAAACATGCTCATAATGCTTTATGGGGTTGAGGCATATGAACGGCAACCAGATAACAAAAATGCATTTAACATTCTTTTGGGTCTTGTTTTTATTGTGCCAAAGCAGCTGCTGATCAGCAAATTACACAGCTGATGAGCAAGTTTTGGGCATCGTGACCATATAAATGCAGGCAATCTCCAGAAGAGCTGTCTGCCAAAGACAACTGCAATAAAATTCCTCTGAAGAAATCGCAAGTCACGTCTCCAGCAACTGGCAACTGGCAACTGGCAACTGGCAACTGGCAACTGCAAATTCAAGGCTGCCGAATTGACAACAAATAATTTATTTTTGATTCAGCGCGAAAGTCGCAAAACAATCCGCATTGATCTGCCAACAGACACCCAGAGGAAAGTTAACTAAAGCCCCCGCTTGGAATTCTGTATGTAATTTAAGCGGTATATATACAATTGGGACTGTGACAAATGTGTTAAGACCCTGTGCAGACGCTGACAAATTGCATTTAACAATTTGGCTCAAATGCAAAAGCCAGTCATGATCATTAACTTGGCCAGTTAACTTGTACCAGTCATCATCATCATCAGCTCAAAGATTGCAGCTATGACTTTAAATTGTTCGCTCTTTGGTTTACTTGATTTTTGTACCATTTTTCGTGTCTACCTTTCTCTAAGCACAGCTCAGACAGTACTCGCCCACAAGCCAACAAAAAAAAAAAAAACATTTATTCAATTCATTAGCGTTGCGTCAAGTTTCGTAGTTTGTCATTTGCGGCCAAAAATGGGTAGCCAAAAGATTAAGTACTGGCGTTCAGGAGACGCATCTTCACATCGTTCGTATCTTTTTATAGATGTGCACACACATCTTTATGTCATGACCAAAAACTGAAAATATTTTCACTATCATTTCGTCGCATTGTTATTGTTATTTATTTTTTTTGTTGTTGTTGTACTTTTTGCCAGTTACAGGCCTACAAAAATAAAAAACCTGAACCTGTAGCTGTAGCTGTAGCTGTAGCTGTGCCCGTTGAGCAGTAAAAGTAACGCACCTTGCTGACCAACCCGACAGCTCCTTTGCTGGCTGCTGCTTCATCTGTCCCACTGTCCCACTGTGGTGCTGTCCAGGTGTCTGCTTGTCTGGGACGATCGCAAACTTGCTCGCAACTGGCAGACTTTCTTCCACAGTCTGTCCAGTTTTTCTACATATTATTTGCGCGACTTTGTTTACCAGAAAACCTCTTACGCTTCTACCACATACCTCGTACCGCGTACCAGGTACCTGATACCTGTTGAGGCAATTAAATGCCGCAGCCGTTGCATCCGCGTGCAACTTTCTTAACAGTTAACAGCGCATCCTGCTTTGCTTAACAGCAGCCCTTTAGACGCTCCAACGCCTCGAACTCTTGAACCCCATTACAATTGTTGCAACATTGCCACAGTCCGTTCTCTCGAAGCATGCTTCTAATTGACATTAACAAACGCAAACAGAACAAACCAACATACTTAACTAGACACACAAAGGCTTGTCGCAGACCTACTTTTGGCCAAGAGCCGCCCAGTTGTTGCCTCCGCAAGCAACTAGTTGTTGTTGCCAGTCGCTTTAGTTAGTGTAGAAGTTGTTGCCAGTTGTTTGTGGTTGGCAAATCCGTCTTCTTTATAATTGCTGTCATCGGTGCATCATGTTTAGAAAAACTCGTCTCAACGCTGCGTTCTACATACGAGCATTAGCCAAACAAAACGAACGAGCTAAACAACAAAACAAAACCAACTGCCTTATAGCCAACTGATTTCTCTGGCAAATTAAATGAGTTGAAATTATCTGCTTTTCTATTGATTTCCAATTGACAGAAAGCGTTCATACAGAATCTAACGTATAACTTATTAATTTAGTTTTGGTTGTTGGCAACTTTGTTGGCTTTTGAAATCCCATATATTTCAGGTTCTTGCAAAATCAGATAAAATTGTATATTACATTAACGTTCGTATGAGTCCCAATGCAATTTCTGGCATATCCAACAATATTTTCTTCCGATTTATATAAACTTTGTCCTTCAACTTAATATTTTCAATATCTGCCTATTCCAATTATATATTATTGATAATTAATTATTGATACAATATGTGGAATCAGAAATATTATCATTCATATCTAATCAGTATCAAATATCAAAGTGTATCTTTAACTTTTAAATGTTTTAGTTCGCATCTAAAGTATTGCACTGTAATCGCGAACTTTTTATTAAAAATTAAGTAATACATAATTAAAATCCTTAGCCTTAAGCTCTTATTAATTGAATTCTCTTGACAGCCATGGAAATAATTAATTTTCTGTGTACCAAGATCTTTAATGTGCACATTGGCTTAAAGTATTAGCTGAAAATTCAATTATAGGAAAACATTTGAAGACCGCTGCAAATTGTTAAAATTTTCAAGATTTTCACACACTCTTGTGTTTTATGGCATTTCATGATTCGACAGCTAAAATTGTGTAAAATGTATAAACAAGATAAAATCAAAAATTTCTGGTTTATTGACGCATTAAAAACTCGTGATACATAAATAAAAATTGTAGTCAAATATAAAAAAGGAAATACGTAAAATTACACAAGTGTGAAAACCAGTTGCGATTAGATGATATTAAAGATTTGACTGCAAAAAGTGCATAAGCCGGAGATTAATTGTCGTATGCAGAAAGGGGGTATGCTGGTAATGGAAGGAGGGGGGAATGCAGCTAGGAATGCAGCTGCATGGACAGGCCAAATGTTAAGGCAGATGCCACATGGCCAGGCATGGAATAAATTATTAAACGTACACAAAGCCGCAGACAAATATTGGAATGCTGCACAGATGTGCACGTTAATAGCGAAAAATAGGCAAAATTTGTAAACATTTAATTTGTTGTCTTTTAATTTTATTTGGCTATTGAGCACGCTTTGAAGGTTGAATTGTTTTATGCTTTGTTTTCTTGCCATTTTTATAAGGTATTAAGTGGCATTTAAGTTGTAGAGCTCCTCGCTTATTAGTCATAATGTTTATACACATGGTGTTAGCTATATCAAATGCCTTTCTCCCAAAAACTGATCCACGCAATTAACAAGTGCCTCAAAATACAAAAATTAAAATATTCAACGAAATGCTTTGAACAGTAATTGCATAACAATTCATCAGCGTTAACAAAATTCAAAAAAACAATTGGCCACTTCAAATACCAGTAAAGAGCCCGCAATTGTATTCGAATTTGGTTTTTGTTTATTCGATTTGTGTTTTTTTTTTTTTTTTTTTTTTGTGTTGCTTTAGGCCTTTCGTCTTACCCACGACAATTAGCTCGACAAGAAATAGACAATGCACATAGGAAGAGCAAATGAGGCAACGGAAATTTAAATTACAAAATTTACAAGCCGTGAAAAAGTGAGATATAATAAAAACATGCACAACAAAATATCTGACAATTGCGCGTGGCACAAATTGGTAAAAAATTAAAAAAAAAAAACCAAAAAGCAAAACAAAACCAAAGTCGTTAGCGCTGTTATCAGACGGAAGAGTCAAGTTGGACAGTTGAATATTCAGCCAACTGTGTGTGTGTGTGTTATATATGGCCCAACAACAATTAACAACAAAAACAACAACAACAACAAGTATAGAGCAATACAACTTTCTCCAAGAAAACAAATTGTTTGGTATGCAACGCCAGACTCTGAGTGAAGAGCTAGAAACTGTCGGGTATCGGGTATGGCATGTGCCCTGCCCCAGAGTTAGCCCTGGTCTCAGTTCTCTTGTAGCACAGTGTTTGCTGTTGGCTTAGGTCAGTTATTTTCTTCTTTGAAGCTTGGGCTTGGCAACCAGGCAATTGGGTAAAGGTCAAGAGTTTATGCGGGCACAAATTGTTGAAATTGTTGGCAACAGACAAAACTTAATAACGCTCTTGCTTTGCTTTAAATGTTTATTTAAGTGAAGAGCACTTTGATTTATGGATTACTATACGATTTTTTAATTTAAACTTTTCTTTAGACTGGAAATGCCCGACTGCTAGATTCTGCGCTCCCATTTATAAAAGTAGCCTCATCTCTCAGTGAAATATAAAAATAAATAAAAAACTGTATATATATATTTTTAAAATTTATTTATGTTATTTGCGAGGCAGTGAAAAGTTACTAAAAATGTAGAAACATGAAAAATCTAAGAACTATTAAAGTTTTCCCAAGTTTACTTTAGTTTTGACTATTTGTAATTATTCACAGCATGCTTTATATTTATTTATAGCCATATTTAAACTCTGGCATTGTGATCCATGCTTTCTTGAGAAACTATTAAAACTTTGAACTTTCGAGGTGCATTTGACTTATTGCATAGCTTTAAGCCAGGCTTTAAATCATTGCATCTTCTTTAACCCATTAATAAATGCAAAAACTTATCTTTCCGGATTTAATTGCAATAAACATATTTATATAAGCCCATCGACAGCTGCAATTTTGTTTGAGTCTGAGCCACAGCTGCCATCAATAGACCATAAAATTTGCATATTAATTTGCTGGGTTTTAGCCATAACTTATAATAGATAAAAGCATAAAACAATAAACTAATTTGCATGCACAGTTATTAAAGCGTTAATCCAGCTTAGAGATTGTTGTCAAGCTGAATATGCTCGGGGAATTCTCATGATTACGAAACAGGGCTGATTGAGGGGGTCGCTGAGCAAGGCCGTTGCCGAACCTATTACGAATTGAAATAGAAAAAAGAAAAACTACTCAATTAGGCGAATGGAAATCAAACTGTGCGAATTGACAATTGTCAGCGACAAATTCCATATACAAACCGAACAAAGCGCACAGTCAAAATCGCTCAAAATCGATAGAATCGAGCCGAGTGACCGATCGAATATTTCCAATCACTGATTTTGCATAAAAAGATGTCGACTCATCCGAGCGGAAATGGGTTGGGCACCTTTTGGGCGATGGGTCAATCGGCAATTCTCAAAAAAAAAAAAAAAGACAACTAGCATATCTGAACAGCAAAACAGTTTCAATTTGCGCTTAATCGAAACAACTTTTGATTTTTTTTTACACTTGCAGCAATTTTTAGATTTAAACCGAACCACGCCCACTTGAAAATGTTTGTGCTGCGCACATTGCTGCTGCTGGCGGTGAGCGCCACCGTGGCTCTGGCCCAGCGTCGTCTGGCGCTGCCGGATCCGCGCAGCTGCGCCAATCGTGTGCGGCATGCCACCTACCGGGATGCCCGAGGCGTCTCGCATTCATACTTCTTCAGCTGGGAGCATGCGCCGACGCGCAGCCTGGAGGTGGACTGGTTGGATGCGCGCAACATTTGCCGGCGGCACTGCATGGATGCCGTCTCGCTGGAGACGCCCCAGGAGAATGACTTTGTGAAGCAGCGCATCGCGCGTGGCAATGTGCGTTACATCTGGACGTCGGGCAGAAAGTGCAATTTCGCTGGCTGCGATCGGCCCGATCTGCAGCCGCCCAATGAGAACGGCTGGTTCTGGTCCGGCTCTGGCGGCAAGATTGGACCCACATCGCAGCGCAATACCGGCGACTGGTCGCACACGGGCGGCTACAACCAACCGCAGCCGGATAACCGCGAGGCTGCCCAGGGCAACGACGAGAGCTGCCTTTCCATTCTGAACAACTTCTACAACGATGGCATCAAGTGGCACGACGTCGCCTGCCATCACATCAAGCCCTTCGTCTGCGAGGATTCCGATGAGCTGCTCAATTTTGTGCGCTCCCGAAATCCCAATGTGCGCTTGTAAATCTAAAATAAAACTTAAAATAAGCTTATAAAAAATGATAAACAGGAAACACAAGAAATATTTATCTAGCATTAAACGGGGCAGCCTGATTGATTGTCTGATTGACTGATTGATCAGATGCTTGCCCAGCGCTTTTGGCCAATTCCGTTCATGTTTTTTTTTTATGGTTTTGTTTACTACAAATTCTAAAAGCAAAAATTTGAATAACACATCCAACGACGATTCGCGCAACAAAAAAAAAAACAAAAACAAAATTGTTAAATAATTTTAAAAAATTGTTAATAAAAATACAACTTGAAGCGATTTTACAAAGTATCCTGTTTCGGAGCATAATCGACGATTTCAGTTTCATCCTGCAATCCGGTGGCTACTTTGGCTAGAGAATTGTGTACATTCATTTGCAAATAAATCTCTTTACTATTTCTCTCTCTTCGTCTTTAGAGAGAATTTCATAAATATGTTTTGACATAAAAATGTTAATAATTGTAGATTTGTAAGTAAAATATTTTGTATATGAACTATTCTGATGCCTCTGAAGTGCAGTTTTATTGATAATCTTCCCAGAAAAAACCCGAAAGTCGATCCATCCAAGCTGAGCTTTCGAAGTAAAATGAAAAGCTGTCACATAGATGGCGCCACAATGGTGGGGCTGCTCTTTTTAATAAATTTTCAAATATCTTTTCACATTTCAGCTCTGTTGTTGGGATTGTTCAGTTGAGCCACAGCCGGAACACTAGGATGCCTTAGTTTTTAAATCGAACAGTTTCCATAGCAACTTTTGAATTTTTGATCATTTGAAACAAATACATTATTTCTTAACACTCATACAGTTTTACACATTAAAGTACAAATAATAAATTATTAGATTGTTTACCACCTAGATACAATTACAGCTATTCAAACCCATTTTCAGTTACGTTTCGGGCCTAGTCATGCAGTCCAATAAAATGGGAAACAGAAGCGAAAGGAAGCAGGAACTACCGTGCAAATCTATGCCAAATCTTTATATAGAGCCCGACGGTGAGGGCGAATCTTCGCTTAACCCGTACGCCTTGGAGTTTATTCCATCGTATCTAAAGGGCGGTAAAAATGATAATAATAAAAAGAATTTGAGTTGCCAAAAGAAACAGTTGAAAACAGAGGCAACATCTACGACCACGCTGGCTCAGCGTGAATTTGTGGGCGATGCATCCTATTTGCAGGCCCAGAGGCAGCTATTCGAGCTATTGCATCAACTGGGAGACAAGTTTATGCCATTAAAGGCGATCAAGTTGAGTCTGGCCCCGGATGGCCAGGGTATCAATGTTCAGTTTAAGGGAGAGCATGGTGTGACTGGTAAGCAGATGCTGGACGAAAGTCTTTGCCAGAACTCGGCGCTTCATTTGGAAATAAGCGACCGCTCCTTCATGCCAAGAAGGCTGCCCAATGTGTTGGCCGCCAATTTTATGGTCCGCATGGGCGATGTTCTCAACGATAAAATGGAGTGGAATGAAGAGTGTTCAAGCCGTCCGGCATTCGACCAACAGTCAGCTAGCAAGCAATTAATTGAGACCAAGCCTTTAATAGAGAGCAAACCCATGCCGGAGATCAAGCGCAAGTCCTGCTCAGTTTCTGCCAGCAAGGACATGCATAATGTTCATCAAATAATTGCCACCACAACAGCGGCAAGGGAAACATTGCCAAAGAAGCAGCAGCCAGAACCTCTCCATCTGAATGGCGTTCGTACCACGCTTGCTAGACCAAGCATTGTTAGCAAAGTGCACCATTGTGTCAACACTGGCAATTGGAACAGTTTGCCGACAGGCCGTTCCAAAACGGAGACGCGTCAAAAAATAGTGAACATTAAGCAAGAACCCAAATACGAGTATGTGCTCTGCGACTATATTTCTTTAAACAATTCGTTTTGAGCTCGAGAAATAGTATAATTATTATTTAATGCATAGCATATTGGATATAAGTAGTTATATCAACACTAGCCAGGGATCAAGCCCGGATCCTAGTTATCCGTAGATGTCTGGCATTCTACTGAAAAAGACTCGGATCTAAAAATCCTACTTTTGGTTAATTAAAAAATAATATTTTTTTTAATCTTCAATATTAAGACTTTATATAAATTGATTTTTCTAATTTATTTTTCCAATCACAAACCAATCATACCATTTTCCTGCACTCAGAAAAAAATCGAATAAGGGTATCCACACGCCCCGACAAAGCCTAGGACAGATCATAAAGAAAGGCCTGACGACTGGTGCCCAGAAATTCGCCCCACGGAGCACGTACACTTCCCAAATGCGCCAGTCACAGGTGCAAAAGGTAAGCCAGGTTAATATGATAAATATTGCTGCCGATGAGAACAATCATTAATCATTCTCAATATTTGCAGCGTATGAGTCTCTTGAAAGCGACTAACAATTAGAACTTGACTGAAATTTAATATAACTATGTACAATATATGCACATAGCTAAGGGAGACTAAGGGAACTAAGGACCAGTAAAATAATTCTTTTAATTTTACAGAACAGTCTTTGCGATGTTTAGTTCTTTAAACTAATGAAATATCGCAGCGTAGAAGAATTAAAATTTTAATTTGCCAATTCTGCTTAACACTAAAACAGGACAAATAAAGGGAGAACAAATTATACTCATTTTGTTTAACAAATATTTTATTTAGTACATTATTGGATTTCACTAGAAAATGCATGTAAATATATATTCATGTTTAATTGTATCATAGTTGTTTAAATACTTTGGTAAGTTCTGTTGCTTCTGGAACTTAAATCTAGGCATATCGTAAGTTTACAAATAATTGCTTTAGGTATAAGAGCTACATAACCATCGATAATGTTGCAATTGAGAAATATGTCCAATCTAAACGTGCATATTCTCTTTTGGGACAAAATTTGATTTAGATTTAAATATTTAATTCACATGCGCACATGCTATAAATAGTTTTGCAGCTCTGTTAGGTAAAGTGTTTTTTATAATTTCATTATCAAACAATTTGTAAGTTGAAGACACAAAGCTAGCAGATTTTATCTAATAAGGGACGCATTGAGTGTTAAACAGGAAGTAAGTTTAGGAATTTAAATTTATATCAGGTTTTTTTTAGTCATGCTTCACACTGGAAATATCGTACGTGTAACAATAAATTATGCGTAAAATACACAAAAAAAAAAAAAAAAAATAAAATAAAATAAAAATGAAATAAAAAATCAATAAAAATAATGTACATTCAAAATTAAGTTCTTAGATGTATATACAAATATGAATTTACTTAAAATTTAACAACAATTAAATAATTCGTTATGCTAATCGGGTTTATGAATTAACAAGTGTTTCTCATGTGTACTGGAACTTGGTCAACTGGTGGAAACATTAGTTACAATTTCGTTTATCGTGTGGTGGATGTGTGCGTGTTCGTATATATTGTATATCGTATATATAGTATACTGCTATATGCTGTATTGTTTGTGTGGGATTTATATGTGGCATTTGCTGGTGTTTGCATGGACTTTAATAAACGGCAAAACCAAAACCTAAAACAGAAAACAAAAATTTGAATTAAATGCGTGAATTGGCTGGCTTTTCGGTAGGGTTTAAGCAATTAGTACAGCTAATTACGTTTTTTTTTTTTAAGTATATCAATTGCTTAATAAGATTAGTTTTGTTTAGTGATGGCCAAATACCTGGGCGTTAGTCATATGTATGCGTGCGTTTAGCCGTTAGATGAGAGACACAAACCAAGGTATGGGGCGAATTTCAGAGTTTACCTGCCACAACAACAACGACAACATCAAACATCAAAGGTCAAAGATCAAAGATCAAACATCATTACAAAGGAACACCAAACAAGTTAAAAGCTACAATTTATGCTTCTACGTTGCTTTTGTTAAAACCGTTTTTAGTAGCTGTGCGTAGTATGTGTGTATTTTGGTATTGGTATTGGTATTGGTATTGGTATTGGTATTGGTATTGGTTGGTATTTGTTTTAACTGTTTTTGTTTTTGTTTGGTTTTGAACTTAAGCTGTACTTGAGTTATGTGAGGCCCCACTGATCGCATTGAATAAAGCCATGCTATTGCGCTGGGCGGCTGTGTCGGCATCATCGCTAAGCGGCTGGAATGACTCATCTTGGAGTAACTCACTGAGCGCTTGACAAAGCTTCTCGTAGTTCTCCTTGAGCACATGATGATACTCCTTCTGATCGGCACTGATCATGCGCTCGTTTACACACAGTGCCTTGTGACAGACACCAATAAAGTCTCTGTATGAGAAATTGTATTTGGATCAATGGTTACTTTTCATTAAGCTGTTGCCTACCGGAACACATCCTTCAGATCCTCAACGCGATCCAGCGAAAAGTTTTTGATCACCTTAGCGTCCAGGAAGGCGTGCGCATAGGCCAATGGACCTGCGTTCACGGTAACTGCCACGCTGCCCTGCAGGCGCAGCTGCAACTTCTTGACATCCGCCGGGGGCAAAATAATTTCCTCCAGCTCTGAAACCTTTGATTGCATCTCATCGATGGCCACCTCTATGGGACTCAGCTCGATAATCTCACGCGATTTGACGGGTATACGTTTGAGCACGTACGGAAACGAATATTGAGCTGCAAACAGAAAAAAGCTCAATTAACTGATCGTTGATCTAAGTAAATGCTTCGTTTCGACTCACTCTTAATGACCGTTTTGCGTTTCCATTGCTCCTCAACGCTGCCACGCGCTGCGCCGGATTTGGTAAAGGGCGTTTCATACATGAATGTGTCCACATCATGATTCTGTTCGAACTCATTCAGACGCTGATCGAGCTCGTCTTTGGTGAAGAAGGGTATCACATGGGTGACTTGTATGTAGGCTAGTTTCGCATCCAATTCGTCAACTTTTACCTGGAAGCGATGAAAAAGAGCATTATTTAAATCTCTTAATAATTTATATAGTCGAGCAATAGAAACTGAAACTGTCCGTGAAAACGAGGGACAGATGGCGTTCATCTCTTTCTTTACGATCTTGCTAACAAATATCAAAAAATATGAGCAACAGATGGCGCACATCAGAATGCCAGGTATGAAAATTATGAAGAAGTATGTAGTTCTGCTAAATATAAATTTATATTACTGTTAATGTTCACAATTTTATTATCAAGCTAATAGATTAATATTGTTGCACACAGAAAACAAATATTTAACTTTATATGAATATGATAACTTGCAAGAAAACAGAAAGTGTTTTGCATGTACTATAAATTAATAGTAAATAATATATGTTATACAGATTTTTAATAAAATAAATTTGAGTATTTCCTAGTTAATGTTTCTCCAGACGAGATTTTCTTACGTAATTTAATTATACGAATAAAAAGATGCTTCTGAAAATTATATTAGCATTGTTAAACAGTAGTACGGCATTGGAATTAAAAATGACTCGAATAGTACGCAACGAAGTACTACTCGAAAGTTAATTCCTAGACGAAATGGAAACGAATTGAACAGTCTCGATCATAGTTGCTTGGAATGTTGGAGCTACAGATGGCGTTTGGGCATCATAGCAGCATTTGTGTTTCGGCTTACTTCAGCATCACTATATATTCAATCGTTTCAAATGTATATATCACTAAAATACCCTTGTTATAACTAAATAGCACCGTACAAATAGTAAATTGTTTGTAACCCAACGGAGTGCACCAGTACCAAATTACATTTAGAGTTAACATTTTAGTATAGCCATCAGTCAAGCAGTTAGCGGTTAACATGGACATTGGCAATGAGATGCACCAACAGTTCATAAAGGACTTTATCCAGTCTCTGCAGGCGGGCAGCGAGGACAGCAACAGCAATAGCAACAGCAACATTTGCATGCAGAGCAACAGCCGGAGCCTGAGCGACTCTTCACTGAATCCCAATGCGGCTGAGTTTGTGCCATCCTACATGAAGAGCAGCGATGCTGACGATGATGAGGAGCCACATCAGTATCAGCGGCAGGAACAAAAGCCATCGGCCAGTTCTTCAACAACTCTGGTGGAAAATACACTGAACCGCATCCAGCGCCAGCTTTATAATCTGATGAATCAGCTGGGTAACCAGAACTTGCCGCTAACACAAATTCGATTCACTCTGGCACCCAATGGACAGGGCATCAATGTGCAATTCATGGCGCTGGACAGCGGCAAGCGACAAACGTTGAATAAGCATCTTTGTAATTCGGCCGCTTTTCGCCTGGAGGTCGGTGATGTTGCAGAGCAAAGCAATCGACCTGGCCATTCCCTGGCTGCACAGTTCCTGAGTCGCATGGGCAACGTTCTGAACGACAAGAGCGACAAGTTGCCGTCGATATGTCCCAAGTGCACGGCCTTGCCGAAAAAGCGCAGCTTCACCGAACTGGAGATAGACCGTCAGATCGAGGACATTAAGGCGTTCGAGAAGTTGATTAATGAGGATGCCGGCGCACGCTATCAGGACGCATTTAAACAGCTCTGCCAGAAACTGGGCCTAAGCACAAACGGCGGCCAGGCGTTGGATTTTGAGTCCACAGAAACTACTCCGCTGGCGATTAACGAGATCAATAATGAGGAACTTGACGACAGTGAAGTGCCATTTAATGAAGATGAGCTGTCCACTTTGGAATGGGATCCGTATATCCCGGAATTAACGACAATGAAGGTTTATGGATACTCGGCTCCGAGTGCCACCGATGTGCACGCGAACGATCAGGGAGATCATCAAAAGGTGCACCAAGAGCAGCTATCGCTGAAAGAAGATTATGGGCTGGATGCGCCAACACCAGCTATGTCAACAACCACAGCTCCTGTGTCCACAGTCTATCCAAAGCTGTACAAGGTGAATCAGGTAAAATGGACCAGTTCGCCGGGGCCAGGGCCGCGCAAAACCGGCACCCACAAGGAGAAGGAGAGCAAAATACAGCGATGGCGCTACAGTTCACCAGCAGCAGTAGCAACAGCAACAACACCAACATCAGCAGCAACACCATCAGTAAGCGCTACATCAACAACAGTAACAGCAGCATCAGCAGCAGCAACAAATGCCGTAGCAATAGTTAATTCAGCAGGAAGTGCCATAGGATCGGCGGCTAAGAAGTCGCCGGAGCGTGGCCATCTAAACGGCAATAGGATCAAGCGTGCATATCAGTGCACAATGCAGCCAAAAACTGGTAATGCGGGCAACTTGCCCGAGGTGACGGCCAGTCAAATAGCCAAGCCAAGCTCAAACTACAAGCAGGAGCCGCGTTCACACATCGTCATGCCCAAGCAGCAGCTAGACCAGGTCCATGTGTAAGTCTCAATGATGCAGCTGTGCGTATTGCCACGTTAATAAACTGTCTGTCGTCTTTCAGTAACAAGTTAAATAAGGCAGCTACCTTGAGCCGCGCAGCCGGCATAGGGTCAGGCCAGGGCACCAAGCATAGTCCTGCAGGAGGAGCTCAGCGAATTGTGGCGCCACGTAGCACCCATGCATCCCAAATGCGACAGTCCGAGGTGAAGCGCGTAAGTGCATCGTCGCATATACTCCCAAATTAATACATCTATATGAATATTAAAATCCCATTTCAGCGTCTGAACCTGATGCGAGGTGACAACGATACCGATGTCCAGTTCAATGAGTATCTGTTCAAATGAGCTAGTCGTAAAAATTGTTACATAATTGTG